CCTGTGACTATATATGCATTTTATGATGTTTGGGAGATAACAAACCAAGTTTAAAAAGTTAAATTAGTTTTTCATGTTTATTTTTTTATTTTATATGAAGAATAACATAGATCTGATTGTGGACCATGGATGGTGTCATTGTGGACCATGGTTTACAATGAGACACTTTCTACTTTTTTAAAAACCAATTTTTTCGAGCGGATTAAATAATTTTTAATAATACGCTATAATAAACCCTACTACTTCCTGATTCGTTTAGAAATGTTCTACAACTCTCCTATCTTTAATGAAATACAATAACACGATTTTTGTTCCAACGTGGACCACTCTCGCCCTAACGAGGTGACTGGTATTACCCACTGACCGGTATCCCCCCCAATATAATTCAAAGACCGTATAATAGCTCAAACCAAGCCACCAAAGGGATGATTCATAAGAAAAACTGAACGAGGAAGTCGGAATATAGAATGTCTCGAGGGACCTTGTATATGGGCAATTGGAACTCGTAAGCTTATGCCTACGCTGGAGGAATAAGGTGAATCAATCTTTCAAGAATACCTAGTGATTTAAGCAAAACGTTTTGGTCCAACGTTTTGAAAAAAACTGAGATTTAAATCTTTGATGAAAGGTTTAGAATAATTGAGAGGGTGGTCAATTTTCATTTAGAAACTTTAAACCTACATAGCTAAGAAATCTTTTATGAACCTGTTTCAATAAATCGTAAATCAATGTGGTAGTATATAGTGTTTATCAAATTATTAAACCGTTATCAAGAAATAGACGAAAATCGATAGGACTAGGGTAGAATAAAGGATTACTAAACATGCTGCTGAGTTAAAATTAATAATTATTTTAGTGTTCCGTTGTAAAAACCCAAGAAGTTGTAAGTAATATAACCAACATGAGGTCTGAAGGATCGAGATATATGGATTACATACGAATATTATGTATCTTAAATCTATGATCAGAAAACCTAGATTTAAAAGTGAGTCATTACTAATTAAGGTATAATAACATCTGATTGTAATTAACGAGATCCGGTGATCTTATAGAAAAATATATAATTGTTCACTTGTTTTTATATATATTATGAGATAAGATGAATATTATAAAAATATTATCTATATTTATAAGATGAATACAATAAAATTATTGAATTATGCAAGCAAAAATAGTAAAAATATCCAAGAACTAAGGAGACAGCCGTTTTCAAAAAGATTCAAAATTATTTTTTACAATTTCGATCCGAGTCAAGTGCCACTAATGGGTGGCTTCTTAATCACGTACTATTATTTTTTAAACCCTTATCAAATATACTAATTGTGCATAATTTGTTCAGATTATATATAATATTGTGTAAAATAAAAAAAAAAAAATTTCGATCCTACAATTAATGTTTTCGAACTCAATGATTATTTGACTCTGGAATAATAGTATCTAAAATTTCGAAATAAATGATAAATCATCGCATTAGAAAACCATTTTGATCTATAGGTACCTACCAAGGTATACCTATAGTTTTTAGCATTTTAATATTACATAATAGGTACTTACCTATTATATTATTTATATAGCAGCATAGTCTATATAATCAAAAATTAGGAATTATAATACATAATATAATATATTTTATGATATTAAAGTTACGTACTTACATGGTATGGTATATTTTATACTGGTCAAGGTAGTATTTAATATTGTGCTTATAGGCAGTATTAGGCACTATTATAGTGTCTTAGTCTTTCAAAAATTTAATTTACTCAAAATATTTATAAAACAAAATTATTATAACAGAATTTCAATTTGTCTCTCTCCAACGCCATAAATTAATAAATGATTATTATATAATATTATATATGCATAGTATAGTTGGTGATTGGTGTGTTTATGAAAAAAAAATCAGTCCAAAATGTACTTAACCAACACAAAAGAAGTTCAGAAAGTTATAAATCCAAACAAAAAACTCCATAAAAATGTCTTTGTATATAGAATACTTGCCCACGAGCTATTTAAACAATATTACGTTTAGTATTGTCAAGTGTTCAATATAATAAACCTATTCATTATCCAATTTAAATATTAAATCATTAGAAAATAGATATATTTAAGTACGATGGAGTACCTGTGGATATTGTATATTTGTATATAATATTTTAAATTTATATATGCAACGATATACAAATTGCTTTTTATTGCGTCGATCGAAATATGATTAGGTACCTACCCATTAGGTATGAGTAGGCATATTAAGCGTGCGCACACCCCGACTATGGTAGACACTTGATTACTCTGCGAACTTCCCCCGCCACAATATTCAATATTATCATGACGGTCGATCATTTCTTTTTTATTTATAAAATACTTTTTTACTACGGTAAATGTATACATTATAATTTATATTAGTTAAACGAATCCTAAATAAATTAAAACTAAGGCGTGAATATGAATATAATAATAAATATGTATCTATGTGTGTTTGTTAATATGTTATGTCGTATGACTATCCAGACAGAAATTTCTGCGCTAGCTTATGATAGTAGGTACCTACGACCTACCTACATTTTATTTCAAATATTGCTAGTAAAATTTATTAAATTAATATTATAATAAAATTATATATTATTAACACGTGGTGAATTGCAGAATTTTACTCGATAATTGTATTGTACCTACTCAATTGTATAATTAAAACATTTTTATTTTTCAACAGATAGCAAATTTCGAAAAGTATTGAAACTTCACTGTTAATAAATTATAATTATTAAGTACTTAAAATAAGTTGTTAAATTAAAATAGCAAGTGAAAAAATAGGTATAGAAGTATGAATTAAATTGATTGTATATTGTGCCATTGTGAGCGAAAGGGCCCTAGAATAAATGTCAGACTATATAAGTATACTATTATGTGTTATTGTGTTTCGAGTGCAGGGAGAACAATTTTATAGATTAGGTTAGGTGTATTTTATTATTAAGGTGCTTATATGAGTTATACCCATATCTTTATGATTTATTCACAAAGAGCAAATACAACTGGTATCTCCAAAATAAATACAAATATAAATACATTAAAAGTACACGTAATTAGACAAAAAAAGTAATAAAGGTGATGTTTCCATGCCTATATTATACTAAGTGACATAACCTATCTCAAAAAAGTGGTAACATATAATATTAAATTACATAAAAATAGCTGGTGTGAATAAAGGGGAGGTAGGAGGGGCAGAGCACTATGGAGGTGTGGGACAATGGTGACCGACACCAAATGGCATATAGTTGGCAGAGAAGGCGAAAAAGAAGAAGACAGAGGAGGTATTTTCAATCATGTGACCCTCCCAAGGATGGGACCCATGATTGTGGCCCGATGGTAGGTATTTAAATGGTTTTAAATGGCTGGCAAAAATTTTGGCACCAACAATAAAAAAAACTGAAATGATGCCCCTGATTCTCACTAATATATTTTATTACCAAGTAAATTAAAATAAGCAACAAATAGAAAATATTAATTGTTACATAATCAAAAAATTTAGGTATTGTCCTGTGTATTAATTTTGTCTTAAATCCACCTCTAAAATGATTATTAAATGAATACCTAACTAAATTAAAAACAAATAACCATAGATACCTACTAGAATTTTCACTAAAAGTGTATACAAGCATTTTCTATACCTATAGATTTACGGTATAATTTTTAAAAAATTTTGACTATTTTTGAGCTATTTACAGAAATTTGACATTTTCTATTTAATATTATAATACATTATGGCTTAGTCAAATTGCTAGAAAATGTCATACAAGGTTCCGCATAAGTGTTCATACTGAAACCAAAAAATCCGAGACATTTGAATTTAAAATTTGCACAAAATTATATATTTAAAAGAAAAAGAAAGATTTTAGTTATTTTGTTGTAATTCGAAAATATTTTATAGTGGAAACCTTAAAACTATTTTTTTTAGTCGATTTTTTACTGTGAAGGAGGGTACGGTTTGGAACACGTGTATATGTGGCGAGAATTTGTCACTGAAAACCCGGGTGGTCACCCATCTGGAAACTAGCGACACCGGGTGATGCTTGATATCAGAACATGTTAATGACTGAGGCCTACCTCCGCAAAACAAGTATATTATTATATTTTATATACAGTAATATTTTTATAAAATTTAGATTAATTTTATGCTGCTTATTATACCTCGGTTGAATAGAGGGTGTTTTGATATTATTTCAAAATAGGTTATATTAAAATAGTTTATACCTAAAGCAAATAGCAATCATACATATTTTTCACAATTTAAGAAGAAAATTATTTTATGAAAGATATAATGTGACTATTCAATGTAATAACACAGATTATACAAAAGCTATTGTGTTTATACTTAACTAAAGAAAACCAAAGTTTTAAATATAAATAACAATGTCACAATATACTACTATAGGGTGCCACTGGATTTTTAGAAAATAGTTTAAGATTAGGTTAGTCAAAAAAGTGATGATCTAGTAGCAACGGATTAAATGAGACTGCTTTCATATGAGTAAATATAGCAAGCCAGAGGATTTTCATTAACTAAAAATATTACTTCAAAAGTAGTGAATAATAGTTACACCTAAATGGACTCAGTGAAATAGAGAACGAATGTAAGATGACACACTTCCAGGATTTTATATAATATAATTTAAGTACATTATAATAATAAAATTTAATTACTGTAATAGTGTTTCACATTTACAGTTTACACTATTATAGAACATACTGAATAAAACGATTTATTTAAAGAAACATAAATTACACGTTCACAGTAATCTATAGATATGAATTTAATTTTCAATTTGGCAGTAAAAATCTAAATACCATAAAAAAATTAATTTATTCAATAAAATTAACCTAGTTTTTGAATATAATACTTTCTCAAGTTATAAAATAACTTAACATTTTGAAGCAAATAAAAATAATATATATTTTAGATTATAAAGATAAGTGTTTACATGTCACTTTTGAATAGATGATTATTATTGGTATGCTTGTGACAATGAATCAAATTCAGCTTCTTTTTTATTGTAAGTTTCAATAAAGTCAGAATTAGGATAGGCATCCCGCAGCATATTTAACTGTCTTTTAGTAACCTGCAACAAAGAAAAAGGAAAACTTACTAAATAGTTAATCTAAATCTAACAGTAACTTACATCAGCTGATACTTTCATATGGACAGAAATGAACAAAGAATTTACTAGGGAATCAATATCATTACTATCTTTTTCTAAAGCATCTTGTAATGTTATTTCAGCTTTTTTATATTCACATTGACCAATATAACATACTGATTGACTATTTAACAACAATGCAGTAACTCCATATTTGTCTGTTAGTTCTTGAAATATGTAATAAGCTTCTTGCAATTTGTCTCCGCCCTATACACAAACACATTATTTATTACCATGAGATTATTTACAAACATTGTATTATTTTTAATGAAGTAAATCAAAAGCATTAAGAAGACATCATCCCCACATGTATTGTCTCCTTCTTACACATGATCATAAAACATTTTTGTTCGTCTGTGTCAAGCGATGATTATTTTAAAATGTACAGTTTCAACAAGGTCGAAACTTACTTAAAAATAATATCAATAAAAGCCTTTGTCTAAAATTTGGCATGTCGTATGTATGTAAGAAGGAGACAATATATGCGGGTACAACATCCTCTTAATTACCAATTTAAATATTTATAATATAGTGTACCTATAGTTTATTTGTTTGTTTATATTTTTTAGTTCAATGATTTGTAATAAAATTTATATATTAGGATTAACATTGTTTTTTAAAGCCTTTTGTGTTCTTACCAATGCTAAGTTTAACCAAGCTTGTGCCATTTGTGTTAATGTTGCATCTTCGTCCTTTTCTTTTAACTTTTTAAATTCTTTTGATGCTAAATCTACTCGATTCATTCTCAAATATATTATCAAAGACAATGTTACACTAAAATAAATTAATATATATTCACCGATAAGTAATTAAAAAATTGTATATTCTATTTAAAATACATACCCTTCAAGAGTGTCATCATTTTTAAGAACCCTCAGAGCAGATTCATAATTATGTTCATGATTATAAATTGTTGTTGCCACAATAACAAGAGAATGATTTATTTCGTACATATTTTCCAATTCTTGTTCCAATGTTTTCAAAATAGAATTCCTTAAAGTACATTGAAAATATACATTATATAAAACCATATATTTCACTGAATTTATTGTTTTAAATATAATTTGTAACTCAGGCAGTGGCGACGAAGTGATTAAAATAAACTATGACATCAAGGGGCCCCCATCAACCCCCTTTTTTTAATTTAACAATCGGGTGCAATGTAATATTTTTAACTATTTTTACTTATTTATTTATAGATATTTTTTTTTATGACAAAAATAATCAACATTTCAAAAATAAAAAGTTAATTATTTCCATAGATCATGTATAACATGATCACATGGACACATTTGGTGTCCTAAAATTCATATGATTACCATTTAATCATTTAATTTAATACATAAATGGCCCAATAAATTAAAGAATGTTTGTTAACTTCATGAAATAGAAAAATAAATATGTTAAACTAACCAAATACCAATATTTTAACCCACAAAAAAAAAAAGGTTTGAAAACTATAATTTATCCTTACAAATTAACAAAAATATTTTTATTTGATGCCTAAAAATAATTAAAAAGAGAACATAACATTGATGATTCGTGTTACAATTGAATAAGTGTTTTAAAAATCTATACAATTTTTATCTCAATTTTTATTTAAAATAATCTTACCTATTACCGGGAGTTTGCAAATACTCTGCTAACAGTTTAAAGGGTTTTAGTTCTGCAGGTGAATTAGTTTTTATTTCTGCTAGGACGATACCATATTTTTTTTGTGCTAAGTAAGCACGGTACATGAATATGTCTCGTTGTAAACGTAAATTTCCATAGTTCGGCTATAAAAATTTAATATTTAAAGTTAATAGCAATAGAAGATATTTTCAACAATAAACACAATAATTGTGTACTCCTTAAACTAACTATAGTTAATAGTTATAAATTACAATCAAACCATAAATAATAAAAATTAATGAAACATCAAATACCGGTTCTTTCTGAGCATCATTGATACATTGTTGGTAGTTTCCGATGTAGTACGAGTTTTTAATGTCAAACAATTCGTTTGCCTCATAAGACTCTGCTTGTTTCACTATATCTAAAAGTAAAAATAAAAATAAATTTATTAAATGAGAACTAAATAATCAATAAAAAAAATATATATATATTATACATTACCCGTCATTTTTGTATAACCTTAAGTTGGCTGGTATATACAATTTTCAAAAATAATATGCTGGAATGCCCACAGAATATGAATCGAAATATCAATAACAACTGAAGACGAATAATTTGCAGAACTAATAATTATATTATTTGTAATCTTGTAAATTACCTTTAGGTATTAATATTCAATTATTTATTCTCAAATAGTTCTCAAAATCTCAACTCTTAAATTACAACTCACAACTCACAACATCGAATCTTATCAAATATCAATTATATTTTATTATTTTTATTATCGTCTGCAATCACCACGTCGTGGATTTCGGATTTCCATGTAGACATTAAATTATATGTCATTGTACCAAACGACAATATGCAATCTTAAATACATTACCCAATGTTATTTATAATTTTTTTTTTTTTTTTGCAACTTTTGTCACTTATAATAATTAACAGTTAACACTATGGAATTTTGAATTTTAAACACAATTATTTCTCCTACTTAAAATAGTGACGTGGAGAACAATGGGCGCCCACAGAACTTGTCGACTACGACGTGTTTTGTTCGTTGCCTATATTGTTGCGCTCTTTCGGCGAGTCATTAGTGGCAGTAGTGGTAATGTGGCAAACTGGCATGGACTATGGAGAACAACGGTACAACATTGTTCTATGGTACAACGGTATATTCAAATATTTCAAATCACCCACTATGGCACTATCGAATGTTCATGGATTTGCGGTAAAAATATCAATAGTGCTCAACTGAAAGAAGTTTATAAATATTTATAATGATAAATAATTATATTTATATTTATAATATTTATAATGATTAATGCTTATAATATTTATATTTATATAATTTAATAAATTGTTCTGTCTTCTGTGGTTAATGGTTGACACTTGACGCCGTTGACGGTTTTATAAAAAAAAATAGTATGGTCACTGAAATATATACTATGTTGTAGTGTTTGTGGCACAGATTGAAGCTTCAGGTCGGTTGGCAATGGTATGGTATTTTATGTAGCAAATAAGATTTATTATGATTTATCTTGTATTGTATTTTATTATTTCTAAATCTGTTGTTTTTAATAAAATATATATATTTTATATAAATCATTTTATTTTACCATTAATAAACGATGTTATTCCCTAAGCATTTCGTATAATGAATGAAATGTTTTGCCAACCGACAACATGGCGGCCGTCCACAGCTGAACTTCACTCGTAACAACTAACAATGTATAGGAGTCCAAGTCCCTTATCTATATTGTGTAGTATAGAAGTCTGTGGACTGCGGTCTGTGGTGAACTCATACGACCGCGTAGTCATAGAAAAGTCTCAACTGTCCACCGGATTTCACCGGCATCGTGTTAACAAGTTTTAACGGCTTCAAATCAGACACCTAATTGAACCAAAACAGTTATATTATTACTATTTCTTTTACATAGTTCAAATTTCAATATTTATCGATTAATTTGAATGCCGAGTACTGAAGTATTAAACTTCTCTATGCAAGTTTTGTTTTTATCGTTTCATTGAATCTTCTTTTGGTATTTAATTTTAACGTTGCACAATGAAATCGTTTCTTTGAGTTGATACAAATTGATGCACAATTATTATTATTGATATTCCAAGTGATTAACTTTTAGTAAGTAACTAAAGTAAATATTAATTATGAATTACAATATTTTTAGTACCTATAGGCTATATTATTTCATAATATGACAATAACACCAAAACTAATTCAAAACTTCTAAAAAAATTAATTCAATAGCTTATTCACTTACCTACTGAGGCTACTTTCCTGTTCTGTGCTGTTATCTACAATGTGCTGTATCTAGGTACATTTTCTAAGCTGTATGAATACTTAATATATTTTTAAATATTTACACACTACATAGGTAGGTGCATTATTATTATAATTTGACTCAGTGGCGTAGCCAGAATTATGAAATGGGGGGTGTTTAAGTATAGATTAAAACCAAGTTTTTTAAGTTTTTGTATATAAACAAATTTAGGGTTCGAGACTTGACTTGTTGCACTAAAAATTATCTAAATATGCTTAAATATATGCAGCTACATTTTAATATTATTTTTGAAAAACTCATAAAACCTAATACAATTTTTGTAATAAAAAACTAAAAAATAAGTAGGTATATAAACATGATAAAAAATAATTTAATCACTGGTATACAAATTTTAATATAAGTTGGTACCTATAGGTACCTATATATTGATTAATATGATAGATGGAGGACACAGCTATTGCATGTTTTGGACATTTTTAAACTATTGTGAATTAAAATTTGATTTTTAAAAATACTGGAATAAAATACTAGGTTAATAAATAAGTAATAGGTAACGATTAACGTGATATGTGAACCCCGTGATAAACGAACATGTATCTACTGATTTTCATTTCTTCGTACAATCTAGAATCTAGATGTCAATCATAGTTTTAACACAGTCTTGTCACAAAGAGATTTATAAAATCTAATGTACCATATGCGAAAATAGGGTCCATGATATCCTCCCAAACATTTACTTAAATTTTTTAAGCTTATTCAATTTTATAATAGTATGATTTTAGGCTTCAGCTTCCCCAAATCTCAAAATTAGCTCCTATTGTACCTACCTAAACAAACATAATATTTTTAAAGATATTTTTCCAAATGTTATCATATGCATGTTATCCAAATATGATTTTTCTTGACAATTGTATGTAAGTACCTATATTTAAGTTAAAAAAAATTCAATATATGCACAAATATAATCACTCAAATGTACACTTTTCCTAAGATTTGCAAAAATATGCAAATTCAAACATCGTTTGATAAGACAAAAAAATTTCATAACACAAATTTATAACTTCTCTAAAATAACCTACTATCACTACAATAAAACATGCAAGGAGTCCCGAACCCTATAAACAATACAAAATTTATTAGGGGGAAATGTCAATGGGAGGTGTTTAAACACCCAAACCCCCCCCCTGGCTACGCCACTGATTTGACTTAATATTAAAATATTTGTTTTTCCATGTAGGTAGGTAGTCATTTACATTAATAAAAATATTTTCCATCAGCAATAAGCGGTTACCTATTAGTTATTACTTATTAGTTATTTCCATGAATAACAATGGCAGTTGGCCATTGATTGATTATTATAGTTATGAAGAATAATAAAATGTATGCATTTTTATTTTTATAGGTAAATATAAACTGTGATTAAAATGGAAGATAATCTTGAATTAAAAACTACTGAATCCATTAAAACTGAAATGGTCACAACTAACGGTAATGATGTGCCCAAAGAAAATTTCAGAGATAATTCTACTAAATCTACACCAATTACAAATAAAATTCCAGAAAATAGCATTCAAACCGTTAACTGTTATTGGTAAGTTTATTCGTTTGTAAATACAAATTCATCAAACTAAGAAATAAATACATACTGTAAACATTTAATATAGGTAATATATTTATTTTTTTTAAATTATACATAAATGTAGATAGGAGCCTAGATAAAAGGTTGACTTTCTCATCATGTTGTTCATGTCACGTATTACCTAAAAATGAATTTATCAAATTTAACTACTGTTATAACCACTGATGTTGTATGTATCTGTAGTTATAATATTGTACCGATAGTAAATTCTCGTTTAAATTAGAAATATATGTAGATACCTAAAATTCAGTGACTTGGCAAACTTGAAATTTTTCAAAAGCTAGACAAATAATATTTCATCCACCTTGTAGCAATGATAACCTGATAGAAGGATTCATTGTTATATTTTTAGCTACCTATCATAGTTATTTTTAAAATACTATTGTTAATACTAAATTATCACCTATTGGCCATTACCCACCAACCACCCCTTAGGAAACACCGAGAGGGCTTTTTATTACCACCTTTACTAGTAAAATTAGAATGATAAATAGATTTATAAACTAAAAAATTGAATGCTTAAAACTGTTAAATTATTGTTTTTAAACTACATATTTAATCACGTTTAATCATTATGTCAATCAATTTAGTAATGTAAACATAACATAATATGTATATTAGTGTAAAAAATATTATTGTATTATTTTAGTAATAAAGAAAGGAATTACAATATCATTGAACTATTATGTGCCAACTGTAATCGTTGGTATCATGAATCCTGTATTGGATATCAACTAGGTAAATTGGTTCCGTTTATGGTAAATTATATATTTGTCTGTAAAAACTGTTCACCCACTGGTCTTGAGAGTTTCAAAAAAAATCCTGCAAGTAAGTTTTTTTTAAACAAATATTTTCTTTATTAAATTAATTTCAAATATTTTAGTGTTTCCACAAATGTGTGTGACTGCAATTGGAAATCTAATGCAGGAAACTATTAAAAGTGGAAACCCTCAAGTTTATTTCTCAAGGGATAAAGATATTATTCCTTTTATTGAATCACACTGGGAGAGTATGACTACAACTGCAAGGAGAGTTACACAATCATGGCATTCAACAGTATGTATAATTGATAATTCTAACTAAATAATGATACAATAAAAAATGTATCCTTATCTATTACATATTTACATGATACGTATAAACTTATAAATTATAATTATATTTTCTTAAACTTTATTTTAGATTACGAGATCATTAGTCAAGGAAACAGACAATTTGTTCAGTGTGGTAAATGGTGAAAATGGTTCTCAATCTTATAAGCTATTGATTGATATTTCTCAAATTAAACCAAATTATGAAGCGATGATAAAAGGGGGCCATCTTAAAGTTACAGAAACTGGAATTCAACCTAGTAAGTTGGGATTGAATTTATAATTTAAATACAAAAATTATAGATTATTTAATTTAATTCTTATAAATATTTCATAGATATTTTTAAAAAATGTAATAGGTGTACAAAATAGTTTTATAAAAATGAACTTTATGCCTCTGCATTTGTAAAAATCACTTCCATTAATGCTGGAGTTTTATAGTATACAAAGTTCTTTGCTGTTACTATTCCATATGTATAGTGCAAAAAAAAATCAAGCATATAATTTCATTATATCTTTTAATTAAAATCAAATAAATACTCATCTACAAGAACACATAACACAACATGACTTTAATTATGTACCAATTATATTTTCTCTCAGTTTTTGAACCTCCCATTCAATATTATTGAACGGAACAGATTTACTAATATGATAATCTATATGCCATTTTCAAATAATAATAGATAGAAAATAAAGATTAATTTAAACAAAAACTTCTTTCTTCACAACAGATGCTTAGAACTCTAGTCCTGTCTTATTCATAGTATAACTAAAACAACTACACAATTTTCAGCTTAAACCGATTTAAAGCACTATCAACCACAAACATTATTTTAAAGTTTTTAATCAGAAGTTCTTTTTACTATTACAAAACTCACTGTGAAATGTACATACCCCAATCATAAAATTTTTGTAGCCAACACAGGTATACACACATAAGTATCTGATGTACAAAATACTAGTGACTAAAGATTTTTTGCACGCCCCATAATCATGAAACCAATTTCTACAAATTCCGTCTAATTTCCAATATAGCTGGTAATGAACATGGACTTTAAACATAATTGTAAGAGTGAATTATACTAAATATTGATTTAACCTTTTCACTGCTACTCTATCTATACTCTGCTACCTGTGTATGCTACATAATTTAAAATATTTAATTTTTAATTTTTGTAATTTAAATTTTTAGATCTATATGATCTAATCATTTAATTTTGAAATAATGTGACTCGTGGTTTTCTCAAGTTGTACCTGAAAATGATAATATAAAATACAGTAACATAATAGTACACCTAGAGCAGTGTTTGGTGTAAATGTTTTGGATGTAACAGTATGTATGGATCAGTGAAAAGGTTAATAAAGAAAAAATAACATGTCAAATTTTCTACCAATGATAGTCTTTATCACTTCTCTCAAATTTTATTAATGACCGTAATAGAAACTTTATTGTTTTTATGTAACAGGTTATAATTAATGATAATAAAAATAAGTACACTTTTACTAGACTAATATTTCTTTAATTGTATACTTTTCCTGTATGCTATACTTATTGTATTGGTATTGAGTAAAATAATAATACTGTTTCATTACCATAAATAAATTGATAAATACATTTTAATAATATTTTATAACATATTAGCAATTTTATTACTTTTCTAGCAATCACAACTGGCCTCAAAGGACGGGGTGCTAAGAGAAAAACATTTGGTGATGGAACTAGTGGAATAGGTAGTGGCAAGAAGGGTAGAAGTGCTGGTGATCAGTCAAATGTCAAATTGCCTGCTCATGGATATCCACTTGAACATCCGTTCAACAAAGATGGCTATAAATATATATTAGCTGAACCAGATCCTCATGCTCCATTTAGACAAGAGTTTGATGAGTCTAATGAGTCTGCTGGAAAATTAATTCCGGGATGGTTATATAGACCCCTTTGTCCTAACCAAGTATTATTGGCATTACATGATCGTGCACCACAGCTCCATATTTCTGAAGACAGGTTATCAGTAACTGGAGAGAAAGGGTACTGTATGGCACGAGCTACACACAGTGAGTTATAACTATATATTATTTTTCTTACATAAATATATACATATATTTATTTATTGTTAATTGTAAGGTGTTACCAGTGGAAATTGGTATTGGGAGACAACAGTTGAAGATATGCCTGATAATTCTGCTTGCCGTATTGGATGGAGCCAAGAATTTGCAAATGTTCAAGCACCATTAGGATATGATAAATTTGGCTATTCGTGGAGATCTAGGTAATAAACATAATGAAAACTAAACAAAAACAAAAATTAAATGGTTTTAAAATATTTTGAATTCATTTTTAAAGAAAAGGTACAGTGTTTCATGAGAGCCGTGGAAAACATTATAGTAACGGATTTGGTGAAGGTGATACATTAGGCATGATGATATGTCTACCTACCAACATGATATCTCTTCCACCAACTCATAAAGATTTGGTATTTAACATTATTTATAAATATTTACCATCTTTAATAATGCCTTCCCGAGTAGTACTAAAATATGTTATTTCGTATGTTCTTTTAGATATTGATAAAATTCAAAAGCCATTTATATTATGAAGAACAGTCTCAAGATAGTAGTCGTGATGCACTTAAATGCTTGAAACCACTAATTGGGAGCAAAATAATTTATTATAAAAATGGAGAATGTTTTAATGAAAGTGCTGTAGACTTATATGATGGAAAATATTTTCCTACAGTATCTTTATACAAAAATTGTACACTGTCTTTAAACTTTGGACCAAATTTCAAATACCCACCACCGCAAACAGATGGTTTCAAATATAAAGGAGTAAGTAGACAGTAAACCATTATTCATTTCCCACTACTAAAAACTGACAGTGTAATTATTAAAACAAACATTTTTTCAGATATGGGAAAGAGCTGGTGAAGCCATATGTGAACAAACTTTAGCCGATATATCTTTTTTAACAATAAATGAAGGTAAATTAAAATTAAGCGATATTTAACAATATGATTTTGTACGAATCAAATTATACATTTTTTTTAATTTTATTGTGTTTAAAGTTAACATACAACTTTATGCTATAAGTAATCATAATTTATCTTTTCTGTGTACTTTATATAAACATAATCGTTTTGTACATAATAAAAATATACAACGGTAAAAAGTACTACTATTAATCTTCTGTATTTGAACTTATAGTTTACAATTACCCATTTATGTATTAACAAAAACTTGTATTTCAAAAATGTATTTCCCCTATCTAATGTTATCATAGTAAACACTGACAAATCAAACTCTGTGTCAACTATATGTATGTTCAGTATATGAATATAACCCTCCAAGGCGGCAAATAAAATTATCATAATTCATAACTTATAATTGCAATAAAAGCAGTACTTTTGAAAAAGAAGTTTGAATTATAATGAAAATCGTCAAAATTATAAAAATGTGCACATTATTTTGGAGTTAAAATTCAATTTTTATAAGTAAGACTTGACAAATTAATACAAGGTTCTCTCACAAGTATTTCGTATTGGAACCAAAAGATATATAAACACAATTATTTTTATAGAAATTTAAATTTCAAATTTTGATGAAATTAGATATTTAAAGGAAGAAAATCCATTTCAGTTATTTTATTGTAATTCAGAAGTATTATTAGTTGGGACTTTAAATTATTACGTATGTTACTATATTTTAGTATTTTACATACCTACATGATGTCAATTTCAAAATATTTAGATAAACTTTAAGGTATAGCCTATTTATACCACAAACCTATTCACATTGTTCTCAGTTCTCACACTTAACAGTATAATATAGGCTCAAAACTTAAACAACTATAATACATTTAATATATTTATACATACTAAAATAATGATTAAATATTAAATATTGTATAATATTATTAATATAATTAATTAATTGTTTTCAGCAAAAATTAAATAAATTATTATATTAGCCTTAAGCAATATAAATATTTCTTAATAATACAATATAGGCTGACCATTAAATTATACAAAATCTTTTTTTTTATGCAATAATTGATATAACACTTTGATATTGGCCACTCAAGAAAAATGTTGACGATAATTAGGCCACCCTAATTGTGTAATCCTAGCTACATGCCTAAGTTATTGTTATAAGTATCTAAAGTGAGTTATTTAAATATTAACTATGGAAAAAAAAATAAGCTAGATATATGTTAATACTTAATGTAAATATTATAAAAAAGAAATTTATTAATAATTTAAATATTTTAATAACTTGTTATTAGAGCAATTAAAAAACAAAATTCTAGGGAAACTTATTACCCAACCTCGAAGTGTTATCTAATATCTATTGGGTAACGTTAATAGGCTGGACTACCCCAAACTAGTTTTCTTAAATAAATAGATCCTGATAAATGGTTCCAATAAATAAATAAATGTGTCGTAGAAGGTGAAACCCATTGATCAAGATTTGCAACTCATGTCATTTTTGAAAATTGGGGCCCAACTGGATCAGGTTATGTGTTTTGATAATACTCCAAATGATAAATGACAAATAATACATAATATGTACTTAATAACTGTTGAAATTCTTTTGCAATGATTTAGGTACTTGGTACAATTTATACACGTAATTCGTATGCCACAGCTGCAAATTTAAGATTTTATCATGGGGGCGGGAGATATACAATTTACATGTTTATAAATTATTAAAGAATTCAAATTTTTTTTAAAAAAAGCACGAAGTTTACTTTTTAGTACCCTGTGTAGGTAGATCCGTCACATGCTCGTCAAATTTATGAAAATAAAAAATAATAATAAGTCATATTATAGTGATATATATGATATATTCATTTATCATATCCGTTGTCACCTTTTATAATAAAAATATAAGAAGACGTACGTGTATCAGCTATCAATGGATAGACCTCAATAAACGTACTCTGGTACTTAACGAGTGAACATGCTCTAGGCAAAGGGTGTCTTAAGGAGATCGCATCTCACTGGACTCACTGTTAATTACACATGATTTGGAATGTCCGTTTTAATTTTTTTTATATATGTTTGAACTCTTTAACAAAACATCTATACTTTTTAGGAAGTCAATTTTAATTTTCAATTTTAAAAGACCTTACATTTAAGATTTTTTTTTTCGAAAATCCCTGGAAATAATTTCTTTACATTTGTATTTATTTTGGGTACATCTAATTTTAAATCATAAAAGTGATTTCTAAAGAGCGTAGTCTAGAAGCTTATAATTTCAATCATTTTTTTCAAAATTACAATCGAACTTCAGGAAGTAAGTTTAATTAGTAATTTACTACCGATTTTAGAAGTTTTTATAGTAATGCAAACAAGATTTTTTTCATTTTTCGCTATGTATTGACATGTGAGAGAGTTTCATCTGGCGGCTGTTGCCCGACGTGGTATTACAGCGATTTTCGAAAACACGCACTAATGTTCATTTACTCCTTGCACATAGGCATAGCTCAAATGTTTGTGTCATGTAAATTGCCTAAATATTACTCCTTAAAACATGATCCGCGGAGCTTCCTTAATATGTAGAGTCAGGCACGTAGCCAGAAAATTTCTACTAGGGGGGCCAATAATGTTTGGCCCTTTTATTACTTTCCAAAATTTTTCTTTATGAAATTCTTGTAAGGGGTATGCAATACAAAGAATCTTATTAATTTAAATAATTTACCTTTAGTTGGTACCTAATTGGTTAAAATTATTTTTTTCACAACAAGTTATACCTAATACTTGCTTATTTAAGAATTACAAAAATAGAAAGTATCTGATAACAAAAAAAAAAAATAAATATAGAATTACCTACATCTTCACTTATGGGATACATTTTTCATGCTATGAAAAATAAATCTACATACATATTTAAAATAATAAGCTGCTTCAATTGTTTAACTTCAAAAATTAATTCATATTTGAATACTTATCAAAAATAATAGAGATAAATGATCATCGATTTTTAAATTAATATAATTTTTAAAAAAACTCAAATTTATTAAAAAAAAAAAAACACATACTAGTAGAAAATATTAATAATACACTTATACTTATATAAATATTAAACAGTGCAATATAAAATAATTTTTCTGTTTTTATGATTTTATGATTTTCCGAAAACAATTGTACAAAAATATCTAGATCTAAGTTTTTAGAATTTTTTTTTTATGCTCATTGAAGCTAAATTATTTAAACGATCATTTGTCATTCGATTCCTCAGAAAGGTTTTCAGTCGTCTCAGACATGAAAAAGTTCTTTCGCAAGCTAACTTAGCATAGACTTATAACTGCGGCTAATATATTATTGTTTATAAAAAGGGTATCAAGACCCTATTATATTGTATTTTTTTCAGATAAAGTTATCCACAGTTCCCCGAATATAAAAATTAAATTATTACAATAATAATTGTATTACCTAATAGTAATCACAATAGATTTCTCTCAATGTGCATAATCACATTTTTGAAAATTGGTAAAAATAATTATATTTTGAATTTGGGGGGGGGCGGCCTTGGGCCAGAGTATATTTAGGGTGGGCCCGGCCCACCCAGGCCCCCCCTGGCTACGTGCCTGTGTAGAGTTGACTTCCGGCTACGGTAATATTACTAAATTAGTAATTAAATATTAAAATTATATTTATTTATTACTAAATTAGTAATTAAATATTAAAATTATATTTATTTATTACTATATTAGTTAAGACATAATCTATGGGTGATTATTGTATATTTTAAATTATGACATATCTATTATAATATTATGATAACTATCTACATTTACATAATATAATAGACAGTAAAAGCATTTTAAATTCGAAAAGTATTAATTTTTTTTAAATACCTGTTTTATACGAGGATTTTTTAATAGGTTACCTATATACCTATAATATTAATATTATTTGAAAAATTAGGTATTGAATGTGGCGTTTATTCTAGGTTAGCAAACGATATTGGAATAGCAATCAGATCCGACCATTCTTTTACAATTTACAATATTTAAATATTAAAATGTAAGAACTAAGAACTAAGTACTTATTTAGTAAAAGCTACCATTTCGATCAGGCTATAAATAGGAAACATGAAACTATAGTACCTATAACTAAATTAAGAAAATTACATATAAGACTTGGCCTACAGTAGCTGGAAACACCCTGACAGTTGTTGATTGATCACTAATTAATAAGTTAAATAAGATCGGTATAATAATATTTTGTGACCATTGAGGAATACATGAAGTTATTCCAACTTCCAAGCCATAACTTTTGCGAACTTATTAACAACATTCTATACACGTAATTCACCCAGCTTCTCATTTTATATAAAACTATTAGCATCTATATAACATCGTTTTCGACTACAAAATAAAATATGCAGCTTAGGTGCTACAATTTTCCTTTGTTTATTTTGTACTTTTGAACGAGTGTGATACGCGTATTCCACGGATGTGGTTTCCTCCTATAGTGCCTACTGCCTATTGCCCTAGGCTATTGAATTATATTCTACTAAGTCTTCATTTTCTTGCTCAAGAACACTATTGTTTCTATACATATATAATTTTTCAACTAATTGTTGCCCATTATTTTATTAAATACAATAACTGAATTTAACTTATGATTTTGATCCTTTAGTTCCAGTTGATTACCCAGATGGCCAGATTTTTAACATAAATATGTTTTTGGTCTGTCTGCAATTTTTTTCTACCAATTTTTGATGATTTTCGTAACGCTTAAACTTTTATTATTTTTACCATGGTTACTCTTCCTACAAAAACATATTTATGATATAAAGAATTTTCCCTGCAGGGCAATTGAATTTAAATAAAAAATATTGAATATGAATAAAAAATATGATTTAAGATTTATTAAAAATTTTTTATTTTTTTATTAAATATAGATTTTTTAATAAAATAAAAAATTTAAATCGGTAGATTTTATCATACAATCGGCAGAGTACCTTATTGCAACCGGTTTCTTTATCACCAGTCAGTCCCGCATATAGGTACCTAGTACCTACAATCTACATAATACATAGATCCTATGCCAGTCCATTATATCTTAGTCTGCCAGTCTGCGCACCTTTAACACCACAACGGCAGACACTAGGCTACACCTGTACGAAAATATAACATAGACTATAGACAATATTAATAAAAGTAAGTGCACGCGCCACGCAGTGATTGTATTGAATGTTATTCCTGGAAACTAATAACTAATATTTGTTTACATTCAAGACCAAAGTGGGTAAAAAATGAGCGATAGAATGATAAAATGTTGAGTTGCTTCGATCCAATTTTGAATTTAATATTTGAATGCAGTAATAAAAATATAAAAATAAATAATAATTGTTGTCTTAATGTAGTGTAATATAAAAATATATACTCTGACTAAATGTTAAACATAATATTTTCCACAGAATTTCAATATATTTAGATAGCAAATTTAGTTGATCGAGTGGGTAACAATAATATTTTATTAATTATACGAATATGTGAACATGAGGGAAAGTCATGGGATGAAATAATATGTTATTTATAGCTTAAACTTTTACCTAACCACATATTTTAAAAATGAAGGTAATTTGTTAAAGGAATAGTATTAAAATCTGTTTATTGGAAAATATACAATAAAATAAATACACATTATTACAATGGTGTTTATGCCGGATTCACGGGGATTGTGGCCAACATCCTGGCCACAATCCGCGCATCCTGGCCTTGCGTGTGATCGACTGTCCGCAACGTAAACTTTGTCTGTTGGCGTGTCAGCTGCCGCGCTTTGTGACCAACCGCGAGCGCGTACTCGGAGTGCGTCTTGAAAGCGGACCCGTCCATGACCACCGTGACAGGCAGTCCAGTCCGCTTCAGCACGGCTGACAGCCCAGCAGCGATCAGGTTTGCAGACCGTCTGGTCACGCACCGGCACGCGTACCGGAACAGCTCGCAGTCCATGTCCGACGGGTCAGTCACGTTCAGCACCCCGGTCAGGACAGCCCGGACGCCATCATACGACGGACTTCTGTCTGACTCGACCAGCCACAAGTGTTTGGCTTTGAGGGCGTACTCTGTGTTCATGGCGGTTGTAGTTCTACCTTCAAACATCGCCTGGTTGGAGACAATCTCTAAAACCGCCTCACGCACCAACTCAGCCATATACATGCCTGTAATAATGGACCGGAGACGACCGACCGACCGCGGTGACTAAGACATTATTATTATTAATATTATAAATTGTTATATGCAGCTTGCGCTTTCTTTTTAATATAATATATAAAGCTAATACCCGTCAATTAAAAAAAAAAAAAACTTGCAGTAGATGTGAAATAAATGATAATAATAAAATAATATAAGTATTTAAATTTAAAATAAACTTATTATAATAACATGCAAATCCCTCACTTTAAAATAAAATAATAATAACCTTTTTTTGTTTTGTTTTTAAGCACTTATTTTCACTTAGCACATTGTTAGAACGTGAAGGTTTGAGCACGACTCATACAGTTTTATAGAATTTAAAAACTGTAATAATTATACAGTGAGTTCCGCTCAATTTGGTCACTGGTTTATAGGATCAACCACTCATTGGAATCAGGGGCGTCATTTCAGTTTTTTTTCCGGGTGTGCAAGATTTTAGGCAGGCCAATTTTAACATTTAACCAGGCCAACTTTAACATTAATATCTAAACAATAACCATGCCGTTTAAAGTATTTAGTATTTATTTTATCAGCCATGCTATGCTTACTCCACTATAGTTGATACCAGCAGGCTGGCACGAACTGTCTTACAAAATAAAACCACAGAATAAGACTCGCTTCACACGGTTGTCAAATAGGGATACATTAGATTATAAAGCTGATAAAAAAAAAAATTTTATTACATGCATGAATCAGTGGCGCCAAAATATATATTTACTTTGCGCATGGTAAGGTAATTATAATAAATAGGTGGGTGTCAAAATTGTATGTGGAGGTGTCTAATGCCATAGTTAAAATGTTGGACTTCAGCGCCACTGGGCCAAGAATATTTTATTAATTTTTAATAGTAATCATATCGGCGCATAGGAGCATTAATGGAGGGCTAATTATTTATTCTATTATGTCAGTGGTGCCGTCGCACACCCTGCCCACCCCCAAATGACGCCCCTGATTGGAATCAAAAATGAAAATCTCAAACCCAATATTATATTGAAAAAATATATGCTTTATGGAACCAACTAGTTAATGGCGTTCAAAATGGCTTGGACGCTGAAACAATGTGATCACATTAAGCGGTACTCACTGTATATTTTTTTTCAGAATAATATTATGTATTGACCGGATAGACCTATGCGCATAAGACAATAATATAATAATAATAATAATAATAATAATAATAGCAACAATAACAATAATAATATAATATCGCAATGGCGATACTGTGGTTAGAGTAAACACAACTCGCCTGAAGTCATTTTCTCGTAAATTTGCTTGCCGGGATTTTGGGATAGGGAGTCGAGCCGATGGTCATACTCCGTCAACAGGTGGTCGAGCGCTCCGTCCTCGCCGAAAGCACCCCATTCGGTGTTGATGACGGTGCGGCCGAATTCTGACACGTAACAGCAGTTGCAACCGTCGTCTACGACGAGCGCGGCACGTGTATCCGGCCTGTCCGCTGCGCTGTGTATCATAGCCACACACGCGTCGTTAAGCACGGCCACAGGACCCACGACCACGTCAGCCCGGGCGGCGGCCGCCCGCCACTCAGCCGCCACGTCCCGGCTCATTGCGTCCGCACAGTCAAAACCCTTGGTCCACCGGCACAGGCTGGCCGTACCACCAAGGGTTCCCGAGTGCCAGACTGGGAACCCGAACGTCAACGCCAGCGGCACCCCGGCCTGCCTCACGTGAAACTCGTCTGCGAACTCGGCCAGTCCACTAGCCACGTGGTCGAACAGATTGGCCACCTTGCCGGTCATCAGGGTGCTGGGTGTCAGTGGGTGATCACGCGATCTGATCCACACGTCGTTCGCACCTTGCAGGGTCGTCAACTGCGTGCGGAACCTGTCGCCGTGGCACAAATCCAGGCTCAAGAACTTGTTGACGACCGCATCGGTGTCCGAGGGCGGTGACGGACGTGGTACACGGGTGTCCCAGCACCTTATTGTGGCCAGCGTTTCCGGCTGTCCATTGCGCCACAAGCCCGCGTCCATGGCGTCCGACATGCGGCGTGTCACAACCGTCAGCTCGTCGTCGGACACTTCGAACTTCCGGCCAACTTGCTCGGCGTTTAGTCGCATCCGGAACATTTCTAAATAATTGCTTGTAAAATTGCTCGTAAGCCTCCGGAAGTTTCTCAAGTGGCCTAGAACATGGCACAAATTTTGGGTGGCGGAAAAGCTCGATAACATTATGCACAGTGTTTTGTTAGTGTTCGTTTTTTAAGTATTGATTGAAATTTTAGTTCATACGTATTTAGTGCGTTGTAAAAGTTTAATGTTATTACATGTTTATTTCACGTTTGTCCAATGACGTCGTTTCCAACGAATTACCAATCATATGTGTTAGCGTTATACAGTGTGTTACACAGTCCTACGCATCTAAGTCAACAGACTTAATTTAAAAAAATATGAATTCAAAAACGTTTTCAAAAATTTATTAATTTATAAATAGATTGCAATATTTTTATATTCACCTAAAATCCAAATTGTAATGATAGTTGTCGAGTTTTTAATTAGAATTAATTTCTAATTTACAGAGTTAATGTAATTTTAAAAAAACAATCCCTCATTTTTGATGTGAAAACATCTTATGTGGCGTTCAGACTTTTCCGTTTGGGCAGTGAATTTTTTCGAGCGTTATTCGAGCGTTACCCTTTTCGCGTAACGCTAGCGCTTCCGACGTGCTGATTGGCGGAGACTCGGTGCGACGCGACGCAACGATAGGCCGCCTGTGCTCAGGGGGCGTGGCTTCATTACGATCACGGACATCGAACATAGTGCGGGCGAGAGCGTCAAATTAGTTCATAGTTGACAACCAACGTGAACAGTTGACTAAAAATGTATTGTATACATACAATATTACTATTTGATCACATGCGCAGGCGCGCAACTACGAACGCGTCGTACTCGTACATCGTCCGTTGTCGCGCGTTGGTAGTTCTCGAGGGCGTTTTTCGTTGATAAACACTACAAACAATAAACATGGTCCAGGGCTTGAAACCGTTATCAAAATTATCGGTTAACGCTAGGAAATTCTATAACGTCGTTAAACGTTGAAACTTTGATAACAGAGAAATTCGAAATGTTTGTTTGCTAAACAATAAAGTAAACATTTCAAACGCCATGATCCAGCGTTTTGTCTGTTCGGTAGTTCAGTTTCAACAACCAATGCCTACCGTGGTTGAATTTGCTTAAACTTTTTTAATCAAAAGTACCTACCTATATTTATTGATGTGAAAATCGTTTTGCATGACAGTGTAAATTTTCGAGCGTTACCTTTTTCGTAGGTACGACCGAGCAAATTTTCTATGGAGTTAATATTTTCGGACTTGTAATTTTTTTTTCAAAATTTTTCGAAAAACACCGAAAATTCTTTTGCCACTAACAGACTAATTATGACGTCAGGGGTAGGTCAAGATCGGAATTCCTGCCGAGCGAATTTTCTATGGAGGTAGTATTTTCAGACTTGTGATTTATTTCCAAATTTTTCCTTCAAATTCTAAGCTCATATAATATAAGTTTTCACATCTTATGAGGGTCGCTTGAGACACACGCGTTTTTTTTTTTATAATAATTAGGTTTAATCAGTACTCTGTAGCGTATGCCCGGGTACAGCTAGGTGACGATTACAGGACAGGATGAGGTGTAGTTGATTACAAATTGCAATACGATCGACAATTAATTGTATTTCCACTGTTTATTTTAATAATTGCACAACGACGTTAAACTTCTGATCACTATGTCAATATGATTTAAAATACTCGGAGAGACGAATGCTACTAGCTGTTAGAAAATATACTATTCACTCGGATATTTTCTAAAGTCCAAAAATATTATCGATCGAAATATTCTAAGTCCAAATTATTAATTTTAATGGATAGTCTGGCTTGGAGAGGCTCGTATACTAACTATCTGAAATCACGTCTGAAAAGTTGTCCGTTTAGGACTCACTTATATAGTGCGTACTTAATACTTATCCCTCTATACTTTACTTGTCCCTTACAAATAGTGCTGCCGCTCTCGCGGTCCGTGTGGTCGATGCCCCGAATTAATATCCACTATACCCAATCCACTAATGAACTTCACCCACCCACTTTACCCAATCCACTCCAAAGGTCAAAGTTCAGGTAGCCCACTCACTTTATTCAATTAACTCCAAAACCATACGAATATAAAGTTACAGTAGTGCCCATCTGCCCACTATTACTTTTTGAATTGTATACATATTTTGACGCGTTGTCATTTAAAATCGAAACAAATGTATATAAGGTCGGATGATTAAACTGTACCTTCCTATACTCAGTTCAGGTTAAGATTGAACCGCGTCGCGCATGTAGACTGAACCACCGAATAGTGCCTGACCCCCCTCCCCCCATGCTATGGCTATGCGTTCTGTGATTGGCTGACAGACGACAGTCATCGCCGGCCGTCGTCGATCGTCTGCGCCGGTGCTGGCCGCCGTGCATACGCTCCCACCGGTGTCCGGAATGCGCGAAAAAAACTTGTTTTGGTCGAGCGAGCGGTTCAAACTTAATCTGAACAGAGTATAGATAGTATAATCTATAAATATAAAATCCAAATGCTAATTGCTATTTATCAAAAATTACAAAATTTATGAACTTGACATCTTGAACAGTGGTTCCTCAAATGCTCTAGATGCGTGCAATAAGAAGGGATTTTAAAGATGGGCTCACACAAGATTTTTGTTTCGACAAACGGAAAAGTTCAGTTCAGTTCCAATAACCAATACCAATCGTGGTTGAATTTGTTTAAACTTTTTTAATCAAAAGTACATGCCTTGTTGATGTGAAAACATGTTATAGAGCGTTCAGGTCTTTCCACATGGCAGTGAAAATTTTCGAACGTTACCTTTTTCGTACCGAGTGAATTTTCTACGGAGGTGATATTTTCGGACTTGTGATTTATTTCCAAATTTTTCAAAAAACATCGAAAATTATTTTA